CACGTAATTTGCATCACTAGAATAATAATGTAGATAGAATTTGTGTACAGTTACGTTTTTTTATGCAGATACATGATGTCTCGTTGTTTTGGGTTTTAAACGAACTATGCAGGTGGTCTGGCTGGGTTCGACTTCCAGCGAACATAACACTAAACCTCGGTAAGCTGAGAGTGAGTCCGGTATAAAGTGGAGTTTGGCGTAGTGGCTAGCAGTCGCGTCCTTTAATAATTAAACCACTGCTACGAAAAATTAGGATCAGAGACTTAGCGCATCATAAACAAACTACATGCCTCCATCAACTGCTGCCTTCGCTCAATACTCAAGAGCTTACAGCCAGAAAATAACAGCAACAGGGATCGCTGGCAATGACCGAACCAACCAACCCAGCAGGAACCAATTGTGCAACAAATATGTAGGAAGAAATGGAGGTGGATTCGTGGCCATATTCTGAGAAAACAAACCGTCAATGGATTGATATCAGACGTCAGGCCATCGCCTGATTGGACCCCTACCGGATGAGAAGCGGCCAGTTTGCCGTCAGTGCGAGGGTGACATGGAAGATTGAATCATTATAAATTATTTAAAATAATCGCATAGCGTTTAAGAAAGTGTCAAAACGATATTTTTCTGAAAGCTTCGCTGTGTAAGGCATCACAGCTTCTTCAGCAGTATAGAATCCGAATAATTCTACTGAAGAAGCTGTGGTGACTTACTCAGCGAAACGTTCATAAAACTCTTGTTTTGATTATTTTGTAAACATGCGCTGAGATTATTCATCTGAAAGAACTATATCAGCACACCTCAGTATGTGCTTGAAATGTTGCCTGTAATCAAATAATGCTGTGTCCTATTACATTATAGTATTATTATTTCCTTGCGTTCGGAATGGAACTTAGGTCTTCAACAAAACATCATTTTGTTCCGTTTTCTGCCAACTGTCTGCAGTTGAAACGATGCTTCCTAGATGAGTGAAGGAGGCAACTGCTGTTAAATCTCTCTCATTGATGGTGACTGGTGCTGGTTGTTGTTGCTGTTCAGTGGTTACCTTCATCACCTTCGTCTTCTCTGTGTTCACCTGCAGTTCTGTTTTCACTGCCAGCCTCTTCAGCCAGTTTGTTGGTTTTCACCTGCCGCTAAGTCTTCGAGTTTGTGTGACATTAAACATAAATCACCCACATACGAAATCCAGATCTTCTAGGGTGTTATTACTGGTCGCCCAGCGTATTCCTGACTCCTCATCCTCAACAGTCTGATGCATAATCTATTCCACTACAATTAACAATATCATAGGTGATAATAGGCAGGCAGCCAGCTTGTCTTGCTCCTGTATACACTTCAAACGACTCGCTGGTTTTTCCGTTGTGGATCAGTTGATATGTGCCATTGCCATATAGCGAAGTGTTGAATGAGGTTGACAAAGACTTGAGGTATGCCGTAGTGTTGAAGGAGTTTCCAAATTACTTCTCGGTCTACACAGTCAAAAGCCTTTCGAAGTCACTGTGTCCTATAAGCGAATAAAATTATTTCTCTGTGAAATTAATTGTGCTCAATGAAATGTTACCCGTCCGTAGAAGATGTGCAATGAGACTCTTGTAATCAGTCATAAAAGAAAAATGAGAAATTGTTCAGTTTTGCAGGACAGCATAGTCTACTGATTCACCTGAGTAGTTAAAACCAGTAATTTCAACTATTATTGTCTGACAGTCAGGTTCGTGGTACTCTTAACACTCGATATAAGTTTATGTGTTATTAAGCTGAGGTCGTCAGTTCTATACACGGACTGGCTCAGATTACAGAAGTGATAAAAATGAAACTTCTTGAATTCTGGTTGGCTGTTTGAATCAGCCGGAAATATGTAGAATACAGTTAGGCTTTCTGACACTAAATACCTGTTGTTCGTGAAAATCCACATCGGTTTCCGTTACGAGCGCCAAATATTTTTGAATTACAATTCTCAACCTGTTTAACATCATAAATGACGTCGAAAACAACAATGTTGTGAAATTGTTTTCCAGTAATTTCATCGTGTATTTCTACGTTGATATCAAATTAGCCTTCTCAAAATCAATAGTTTGAGAAAGATGTTTTATCCATAATGGAGTTATATTCTGCCACAGTGCCCAAGTTTTATCCTTATATGTTTTATATTTCCCTAAAAATATCACACAATTTTGAAAGCAAGGTCACAGATATATGTTTACATGTATCCCTTCAATACTTTTGTCACATAACAATTCGTTGTACATAGTATAGATGCAATTGATTATTTTAGCGACCTTGAAAATGCTGGTAACCATTCAGCACTTGTGAACATCAAGTTTTGTATGAGTGACCTAAAAATAACCTGATTTTTTTGTTTTGTCATAACGGCATAACCTGTGTTACGCTTTAAACAAGTACTGAAATAATTAATTACTAAAGAATTCCAGTATATTGTACACATTCGGTGGGATGCAATCAATGAATCGTGACAAATAAGAAATACCAAGCGTCGGTTTGTAGGGATTCCCCTGGTTACATGTTTGCCCAAAACCAGAGAACCATTGGAAACCAAGTGGAAGTATTTGACAGCTGTCTCGTCCTAGTCCGGCGCTCTTTATCAGTACGCACCCCCCATTAGGGTTAGAAACCCAGGATCTTCCAGTTTTAAGGCTAGATGGTAGAACATTAAGCCATTGGGACTCGATTCAGTGACCAGCCCGTGAGTTCAAACTTCTGCCAATTCGTGATATACATGTAGCTTGGTGTCACCTCCTGATCAAGTCTGTGACCAATCAGATCGATGCAAACCAACACTAGACAATTAATTTGGTGCTCACTAGTGACTGGCTCTATATAGGAAGTTACCTGAGGTTCTAGTGAGAAATCGTAACCAACGAGGTCTACCGTGTCAGACATTAAACAGTTTCCATTAGTGAAAAGTCACAAAAATCACAATTCTCAACCTGTTTGACGTCATTACTGACGTCGAAAAAAGCAATGTTGTGAAACTGCGAGTTGGTAGTTCTGTTTAGAATGCGCCCTAACCACACATATTCGCCCTCAACATTCCCTTGTCTACCTGTCGTATTAAGCCCACTAAAGATGAAAGGTCGCGCGTGAGGCAAGAGACCGTATGACATAAAGTTAACGTCACTGCTGCCAAGATTGAAAAGCTTGGTTCCCAATTTTCCACGCTGTACGGAAAGGACTATAAGAAGCATTTCTGGTTGGTGCGAGTAGTTCTATTAATGTGTAATTTGCCACCAATGAGCAGCTTTCATCGGGTGATTTTGTCTGAGGCGATACCAGCCCTTATAAGGCAACTTATTTTGGAATAAATCAATGATAAACTCCAGAGAGCTGAATGCAAGAAGTAACTTCCTAACTTTTAACACCAGTGTCAAGTAAGATGTTTCTACATAGTCTATGCACTTCGAGGGCCAAGAAGAGTATTTAAACAGCCCACTGCATCGAAAGTTGTCTTTGCTTCATAATGAAGATCAGATAGCTGATTACGAAGGGTGGACGACTCTACAGAGTAACTAACCAATCAAGTGGTCAACACACATGGAGAAGGAAGAGGAGGGCGATCAGACATGTACTACAGAGAAAATTGGGTGACATCACGCACAATATACACCCTCAAGTGGAACCCGAATGGAGAACTGTGAGTAAGGCATCTAAGAGTGACATGGAGGAGATCGCGTTAGGAGTAAATGGAGGGTTTTGAGAAATCGTAAGGCCAGCTAAAGATCACTGCAGAGAATCGAGTGAGATGGAGATGTTCTACTGAAGCCTTAAGTTTCACTCTGAACCCATACGAATATTAGTAATAATTTTCATAATATTATTATTATTAATGTTTCCTTTAGCTCTTAGAGGAAAATAGGACTTCAGCCGCACATCTCCGTTGTGTTCGGTTCTCCACCAACATTTTCACCTGACTCCAGGTCTCCCCACATGCTTTTATCTCCAAATCACATCAACTCGTCCTCAATGTCACCTCATCCTCACATTGGCAACCAACTGGCCACTTTCCATTGATTCGAGTTCCACTCAAGCGATGGCCTGGCGTGTGATATCACTCAATTGATGGTTTGTTTTCTCGGAGTATGGCCACTAATCCACCTGAGTTTCTTCCTGCATATTTGTTGAACAGTTGGTTCTTGCTGGGTTGGTTGGTTGGTTCGTTACTGTTCCTGATCTCTTCTGGCTAGCCATCTGATCTTGAGTGGTATCGAGCGAAGACAGCTGTTGATTAAAGTGTGTCGTTTGTTTGAAGTGGCTTTCGTGACGCAACACCAAGTCTCTGATCCGTATAGTAAGGAGCACTGACTTCACATTGGAGTTGAAAATCTGGATGTTATTTTTATTTTCAAGCTGAGTGCTGTTGATCTGCACACAGACTTGAGAATTGTGATAGCTTGCTTTGCTTTCCCGATCCTCGCTGTGATATACTCATCAGTTCCTTGCTGCCTGTGATTGAAACGGTGCTTCCCAGGTTGATGGGTAAAGGAGGTTACTCCTTTCAGGTTCCTCCTACTGATGCTGCTTGTTGTCTGTTGTTGCTGCTATGGGCCAGCAATCGTCATCACCTCTGTCTTCTCTATGTTCACTTGAAGGAAGGCTTATCTTTGATGCTTCTTCTGCCAACTTGTTGCTTTTCACTTGCATATCTTCCAGTTTCTAGGATATCAGACATATATCATCGGCGAAGTCCATATCCTCCAAGTTTTTTGTGTGGGTCCATTTTAAGCCTGTCTTCTCGTTTTCCGCTGTCTGTCGCATTATCCATTTTATCGCAATCAGGAAAATCATTGGCGATAGTAGGCAGCCAGCTTGTCTTACTCCCGTCTTCACTTCGAAGGATTCCGTGAGTAGAAATAATCTCAATCAACTTTCTTCCTTTTAGTTAAATTGTTCCATCAAATTTAGGAAAATAGACATTCGGTAAGGCACAAAAGTATAATTAAGCGTGGAATCCAACACAAACACACACAGACATAGTAATTAATTACCTTGGTTGTTCTAATTTAGCAGTTATATCAAAACGTAATTGTTCAGTGATCAATGCATTTGTCCTTGGAATATCTAGAAATTCTTTAGAATCAATACTTAAATAACCAATTATATGAGCTTTTAAATTAAACATTGAATAAGACATCATTTCTGAATATGCTTCTGTTGGATTCATTACTATAGTGACGGTGAATTCTTCATGCGGTGGTATTATCACTTGTTCAGGTTCTACGGTGAACAGCCTTTTATAGTCATCTTTTAATGCTGGTAAAATTTGTGCAGAGGATGATTGCCATATTAACTTTCCATCGTAAGGACGAAGAACTAAATTAATTAGTGGTTTTGTACTGGATCCATCTTCGATTGCTGAGTAACAAAAGAAAAGAAGAAGAATCATAGATATCCGTGGTGAAAAGATGCTTTAGGGTTAAAAATATAAAAACATGCAGAATATAACTAATTATTGGAATATGACAAAATTGAAGATTGGTTGGAGGATTTCATCATGATCTGACACCGGGTAGAGAAACATTGGAAGATAAACGAGGAGTACTGCAAGACAGCTGTTATTTCCCAATAGATTGTAACTGGCTCTTCATCTGTACGCACCCACCACATCGGGGTTCTAACCCACGACCTTCTGGTTACAAGACGGGCAAGGTCGTAGACCATTCAGCAGCCACTGGCACTCGCCCAATCCAACAGCCAGCTCATGAATTCTAACTTCTGCCAATTCACGACATAGCGAGACCTCTTCGTAATATCTCCTTCGATGAGTAACTGTCCTCACCTTTGACCTGCTGTACCCTACTGGTCACGGCTTCCCACTAAAACCCCAGGTAACTATCTACCTGAATAGGACCAGTCGCTAGTGAGCATCAGATCAGGCAGTTAATGAATCAAGAATAAAACAAATTGCGTTTCTCAAAACAAGGTTTTAGTAAAATTCCCCGAGGGCTGAGTTTGTTTATGGTGAAGGACTTATGTGTGAGGCGATCAGTTAAGATAATACGTCTCATACTTGTCTAAGATATAATAGTCAGTCAAAAAATTTCGTATTGTTTACAGTTCTTGTTTGTTTTGTGTCTGAAATAGAAGGACCCTTACTGATTTGTGACCGCGGAGCCCAAGGAACGACTGCTTTGAGCAGGTAACATGAAGCCTGTGGCATCAAGTGGCTTCTCGAGTTACATCTTCATTTAGACTTTATCCCCGGCTACGGACCATCACAAGATAAATTGAAATGTACAATTTTTGGGGGTCGATTTTTTCTAATTTACCTCCCCCCATCTCCATAGCAGAGAGACAGCATAGTTACCTAACTGGTCATCTGAGGGAAACTTTTTACTGTTGTAGCATCTTTATTTACCAGCAGTACCCCTTCGCATAAAGATCCCGATCATAGTTTAAGCAATTTACATTATGATGGTAAGGCTTTTAGTCTGACCACTATCCACACCACCTTTCTGACACGTTAGGACCTACATGAACAACAGTTCCAGTTAGTATAGGTTACTGTAGTGACGTGCAAGTCCAACCTCCATGTTAAGGTAGCAACTACAAGTAGGGTGCTTCTTTTATAGCGGATAGATTTGTAATTTTCACTTATGAAATTAGGCTGATGATTGAAATAACACAAGAAACTGTTGTAATTAAGATTTAAACTCTTGTGTAGGCTGAAAAACTATCTGTATAGTGTGTACACAAAAGCTATGTGAATATTTGAATACATCAAGTAAACAGGCACTAAATGTGGATGGACGAAATAAAACTTCTAGTACCATTTATCACCATTTTTTGTAAATATTAGATAAATCGATATTTCTAATGAAAACAGTGTTCATATACTAAAGATATTCAGTAAACGATTGCACCGAAAACAGCATTAAGGTATGTTGAAGATGTTTTTTGAAGATGTATTTTCCTTCTCATTCGTTTGCATTTCGAGGGGAACATAAAACTTCAAGTTTAAGCTTTGAGATTTCAGTAACGATGGTAATTTTTACGGGGTGATTTTGCTAGTTCCATCACACCTAAGCTTCTGTTGTTATTTGGTTCACTTCCATTAGAGAAGTAATGAAAATCATCTTGAAGTGATGGATATTTGTTTTGGACTTACTTTGGGACTTGCAATTAATAGTGTTCTCTGAGCTGGTTGGTTTAGTTGAGACTATTCATCAGTGGACACTTATCGAGATTCGAACCCAAGATCTCAAGGTTAAAAGTGAAGTTTGCAGGGCATTCAATCACTGAGACCTGACTCAACGTCTCACTGATACCCTGTGGGTGCGTACTGATAAATAGTCCCAAACTAGGACGACTCAGCTGTATAACACTCCCCGGTTTTTCGACGGTTCTTTAACTGTCATCAATCCTTGATAAACCGCCGAACAAATCAAATCCTCATAAAATGACTCATGAAAATGAGAAGTTATGACCAAAGAGGTTCACTAGGGTAAACTTGAGGCCAAATACTAGTTGGTGACATTGGCTGGTGGTCGAGCTGAAATCACAAATTCGTAGAAGTTGGAATTAAAATTGGAACAACCAGTTTTAAACACACCATTGAATTAGTTGGAGGGTTTCATCATGAGCTGACATCACCCAGAAAACCATTGGAAAACGAACGGATAGTACTACCGGACATATGTTTTGTCCCACTAGTTTGGGTTTGGCTCTTCAGCAGTACACACCCATCCCACTGGGGTTCGAACCCATGACCTTCTGGTTACAAGGCGAGCGAGCTCGTAGACCATTCAGCAGCCACTAGAGCCCGCCCTATCCAATGGCCAGTCCATGAATTCTGACTTCTGCCAATTCATGACATAGCACGACCACTTCGCAATGTCTTCTTCGATGAGTTACTGACTCACCTTCAACCTGCTGTACCCTACTGGTCACAGCTTCCCACTAGGACCCCAGATAACTGCATGAATATGACCAGTCGCTAGTAAGCATCATATCATCGAAGTGCTCTGTCGGTTCCTTTTGTAGATGCTAGTCACCACTCACCAATAAACTTCTATTTACATGCCCAGACATCGTGGAAGCATCTGCACAAGGAGCCCACATATCAACTTGAGACTGAGCACTTCAGTCCAATCAATCGACGGGAAAATCTAAAATTGATTTAGATGCTTTGGATTATGTCTTTCCACTGATCTTTTCTGGTTTTCTCACATCATGTTAGTTGCTAGGACGATATTTAGTTTAACCTTCTAAGTAAGGAAGTTAAGACAGTCTGGTATCAATCAGTCTCAAGTTTTACATTTTCCTAAATATTGTATTCTGCCTATTCTTCTTCATTGTTCCCTCATAATCTTACCTAGACTACTGAAGAAAGACTTTGTTGCATTGAGAACGACACTAAAAGCCGTTGGGAGGGTGGCTATTGTCCCATAAACCAACTCTTTATTACTGTTGTGAACGGGCAATTGAACTCATATAAAAAATGAGTAAATATCATCTTGTCGCACTCTCTTCAGCCTCACCCTTTATATCCCATGAGGTAGGACTCGAAAGAATCATAAAACACAATTAATACAAATGTCTCTGTGAATTATTTTTCTCCGTACTAGGCAATATTACAGAGAAAATTAGACGTAATAGTATACTACATGGTGAAAATTCAACACTTCATAAACTGTATTGTATTGTTTGGAATAAAACTACAATTCTGATCTAGAATATTCTATTTAAATAGAATGTCAGCTGATGTATATTTTGAACTTATAATCTGAAAGATTTAAAAACAATGTAAACATTGTACAGTATGTGACCTCATTGGTTTTTAAGATATTTATAACTTTGAATATCATGTGGTAACATTGACCTCATTAAAAAAGATTTCACTAAATTTTGCACTTTCAAAGTTATTTTAAAACATGAATTATCTCAGTAAAATCCTTTCTGATAACAAAAAAATAATAAAAAAACAGAAAAGATTTATTTAGATTGTATAAATTTTCATTTTTATTTTATTTTTGATATTCAAATTGGTACTAAACAAAGTTGTTAGACGAATAATCATAGTATTAGAAAAAGCCATTGAAAACCTTGTAGGACAGATGTGAATCCTAATTTCTTTGATGATATTAGATGGTTGGAGGCAATCGGCCACAGGAAGCCCAGCCATGGACTTAGGTTTCGTGCTAGTTGGCACTCACCAATGTAGTCAGCGAGGCATATCTGCAACTTTGAAGGAACTCATGTCCCTCCTTCTGAGATTAGAACTCGCGTCACCCAGTGAGTGCTGCAGTCAAAGATGTTACCACTGAGCTATTCGGGCTTGCGATTAACCCCCTTCTTGTAGGATTGTAGTGGGTATTTTGATGGAACACTAGTAACTAGTGTGACGTGTCTAGTCTTAGCACGAAACCTTGGTCCAAGGCTTCCTACGGCCGATTGCCTCCAACTATCTAATATCATCAAATCGGTGTGCACCGTGATGGCGAGCGATCTACCTAGAATGTTGGCCACATTTCAAACCTGACTGATAGAATTCAGTCTGCATCAAAGAAAGGACTAGACACGTCACGCTATTTACTAGTGTCCAATCAAAATCCTAATTTCTGCCAATCTGAAAATTCCTAAGTCATCGCATTCTGTTCCACTCATGAAATGACGCAAATGTTCACCTTGGAATCTAAAATTCCTGGGGTTTAATTGTTATTGAGGTCGCGGTGAAAAGTCTGAAACTGTGACAAGTCATTTCTCGTCAAAGTCCACCTTCCTTTTAGCCGAATCTCTGCAACCAAACTCTTGAAAATGTATCCACTGCATATTAGTGACTAAATACGGGATGACCCTGCTGATAGCTTGATCAATCGGGACTATGGCATCCCCCAATCTGAGCGTGAGGATAAGTATTCGGCTGTGGGATTGTAAAATGAATTGGAGACTACAAATACTTGTCAAAGTTCACGTGTGTCATATACTTAATGTCTACATTGAATACTATTGGTGTACTCTTGATGAAACAGTCATTCTACACCCTTACTTCACAATTTTCATATCTAAAAGGGATAACTAGCCTCACTTCAGTAAGCGATCTGAGGATAAATTAACTTACGAAAGATATAGTTAACTATAACTTAGCTACGTAGTATGAAGCTGTGTGAGGTCTGATTATACTATCCACTTACCTAGTTAGTGAATTAGCTGGTCTGATATTCGAACAGACCAACAAGCAAGAACCTATTACTCAACAAATTTGTCGGAGAAAATGGGGATGGATCGAGGACCCGTTGAGGAGACCGTCGAATGACACCTCGCCAAATGCAGGCCATCGCTCGAGTGGAATCCCAATAGGAAAGGACGAGTAGGTTGTTAGTGCGAGGTCAACATGGAGGAGATCGTTTAGCGAGCTATAAAGGACAGCAGAAGATAGTATAAAGT